GAAGAGCATCTACCATCATTGGGGTCTTTAATCCACAGTCTCCAAAAAATATATACCCTGGTCTATTTTAGATAGTGAAGTTCGATATGCTATTGGAAGGAAGTTTTTGGTTTCCTGCTATAACATGATTAATGACAGCATAGGGGAGAATTTTCCATGCCCCTTCTGACAGGTCTTTCTGGCCCTTCATCCAAGGATGTCGGTTACATCCTTCCTCCAGCTGACAGAGAAGAGCTAGATCAGCTTCCCCCACAGACCGCAGAGCTCTTCTGGGATGCTTCCCAGTCATTTTCTGGGTTATTTGTGAATGACATACTTAGGGATTCTCTGAGTGGGCCTTTAAGATGGAAAAATAAGTGTAGTGTTCCCACATCACTGGGCAGAGGCAGAACAACATGTGTCTTTGTCCTTCAGTGGTTACATCCTCCTTCATCCTGCAGGGTGGTGAAGAATTGGTAGTTCATTTGAAGTCTGTGTGTGTGTGTGTGTGTGTGTGTGTGCTGAATTCTGGTTTCAGCCAGAAACCCTTTTTTTTTCCTTCATGGTGTGGAGAATTGGATGTCTTCCCATGACTCCAGGAAGTAGAGCCAGAAGGTCAAAGAAACACTGTCTTTGAGCTCCTCAAAAGCCCAACTTTTTATCTTTGAGAATACATTTGGATCTCCAAAGGACCTGACAACCCTCCCAAGTAACATCTAATATCCTGGTGATCAGGAGGTATCGGTACAGCCTGGCAGTGCCAGTCCTTTCTCCTGAAGTTCTGTCCTGAGGATAAGGGATAGCTCAGCAGTTCTCCGTGGATGTTTGTCTCTCTCAGCACAATGTACATATTGAAAGCATATTTGTCCATTTTTAACTTTTTCACCAGGATTGATTTTTGTTTGTTTGTTTTTGTTTGCATTGATTTTGATAACAGTTTATCCAATCAAGAAAATCTCTTGTATGTCATTACAGAGAAATCTTATCAGAAAAGAGGATACACACCTATTTCTTTAGCTACTTAACATCTATGAGAGCAGAAGAAGTGAAGCAGTGTTCAGTACCTGGCACTGAAATTCCTTGACGACAACAGATGGATGCTGGCAGATCGAATAGAACTAATGACCTTGTGCTCGGTTGTTTCATCTAGTTTAAATGAAAAGCTGACGTTTCAAAGTAGATAAAACTGTTATGGATGGATTCCAGGCATTTGGCTTCCGAAAAAAAAGATAATGTTGGACGTTTTGGTTGAGATACTCCTCCATGTGATTCTGATGAGTCTTGTTCTTGTCAGCGAGACATTTCCTGAATGTAGAGCTCTGCTCTGGGCTCAGAGCTGTGAGCTCTTGAAAGGATGCATTACCAGGCTGAAGTGAAGCTTTTGTGATTTATTCTGAAGTAGCCAATCTCTCTCTCTTTGTAAATCTCATCCATATATATTTTGAATCCATTGGCCAATTTCAAGAAAATTGGCAGTTATCTCAGAAGAGAAGTTTCATACATAAATTATTTCTTAGAAGTCTGTGGGAGAGAAACTTTCTTAGTGCTGTTTCAGAGGAAAGGCAGCTGGTAAAGCCCACGTCTTTCCTCTTATTAAAGGGCCTTTAACATGTGTTCACTGTGTCAAAAGCCAGGGAATCTCCAAATGCAGGTCCTAAGAAACCGAATTAGAAAGCTTTGGCACACAGACAGTTTAATAACCTCTAATCTTGAAGGCTCTTATTATCACAGATTACTGAGTCATTAAAATTTAGCCATCAAACTGGCCATGTACATTTTTTTTTTAACCAAACACTGCACTTGTCACTAAAACATCTCAAAATTTAATAAGTTAACCTATAATTAGAAAGCTTTGGCACACAGACAGTTTAATAACCTCTAATCTTTAAGGCTCCTATTATCACAGATTACTGAGTCATTAAAATTTAGCCATCAGACTGACCATGTACATTTTTTACCAAACACTGCACTTGTCACTTAAACATCTCAAAATTTAATAAGTTAACCTACATAGATAAACATTACAAAACAACTGCAACTTAAATATATAAAATATCATTGTATGCATACATGGTAGGTTGAGTTGACTTGTAGGTTTTAGAGGAATAAGGGGACTTTCCTATCATCGACCACCCTAAAGAAGTCAACCCACAGTGCCTTCTGCATCAAAACCAGATTTTGCAGCTGCCAAGATCATGTCCTGTTGCCCAAGATGGAGTCTTCCATTTTATCCAGCCTAGAATCCCTGGGTCAGAGTCCCAGGAAAAGAAATACCATGCAATGAAATTGGTAGCATTGCAGCTTCTTAGCTATAGCAATGAATGATGAAATCTCTGCTAGCAAGCACTTTGTGAAGGATTTTGCACTGACAGAAATGCAAATATTTGGTCACTTCTGACATTAGGCCAGAGAAAGGCTGGCTTCTGGACTACGAACAAAGTCATTGAGTTTATTTTGAAATGGTGGAGTACAGGGAAGGCAGTATCTTAAGGAAGACGTTCAGAGTGGAGGGGATTGGTCTGTACTGAATTAAAAAGGCTTCTGTGAAAATTGGAGGGTAGACACAAAAAAACAAATTTAGATATGATCACATGTTTTTATAGAACAAGCAAATGAGCTGCTCAAGCAAAAGGAAGATGCTCAGAAAGCAAAGGGGAGTGTTTGCACCAGCACAGCTGAAGGACAACATTAGACCTCCAAGAAAGGAATGAAACTTCCAGTTTGTTTCCCCTTTCTTGCTTTGGATGGAGATAAAAGCAATCACATGAAATGATTTATAGCACAATGCAGAAGGCAGTTGGAAATGTCTCCTCTGATCTTGTGCCTTAATTATGAAAAGGTCTGGAACGTGTTCCCAGTGAGCTGAGCTTTCTGTGTATCAAATGATCAGCCAGGAGTGGCAAGTTGCAGAGCTCTCACATTGTGCAGTTGGAGACCTACCAAGAAAAGTAGGAGGAGACTAACGTCCACTCAAGATTATAACCCTTTGGGGTAAGTTATGGCAAATGTTTAACCCTCCAACAACAAAAAAGGCTTAATAGCTGTAGGCAGGGGTTGGCTACAATAGCAGAAGAACTTGAAGTGCAGATTGGCCTTGGTTTTTACAAGGGATGAGATGCTTTTGCCCAGTGTTTTTTGTTGTCTTAGTCTAGTGATGGCTCAGCTTGCAGGAATGGTCCACCATGTGCTAGGAGTCTTCTGGAGAGATCTATGGGTTGAAGAAGAGGGATGTAAGGGTAGGTAGATGAGACCTATGGATCCGAAGATGACAAGTACATCGCTGGATGTGCTGTGGCAAGATGCAGAAATACACTCAGTTTCGTGCTACCATAGGGTAGAAATTTGGAAATCAAATGGTAAATTCAGTAACTGAGTAAAAGTTCGATTCTGCTTTTCTAATTCTGTCTTCTTCTTAGAGGTGGGGGCACAGAGACAGGTCTGGCTCTGAAATACATCCTTCACAAGGGATTCCCTGGTGGCAGAAACTCGACTGTCCCTGAAATCCTCATCATCCTTTCAGATGGAAAGTCCCAGGGCAACACTGAACTACCTGCAGTGCAGCTGAAGGAGAGGAGGATCACAGGTTTTGCAGTAGGAATAGAGTTTCCAAGGTAGAAAGCTTTCTCGCAGGGTTGAAAATGAAGCTAACCAAATGGCAAGGCCTTGTCAGTGGGAGATGGTGGAGAGATCTCTTGAGGTAGATGTGAATTTGGGAATAAAAGGAGAATTTGGGATGTAATACAGGCATAGGGGAATCACTAATCTGGTGAACAGCAAAGAGGGACTGGAATTGATGAGGGAAGCTCTTCTCTGGCTAGAGCTTAGCTACTATGTAAGCCTAAACATGCCAGATACTTGAAACTCCTTGAAGTGTGTCTTTCTTTTGGTATCAGGTCTCTCTGCTGTATGCACAGGGTTTGTTTTGGTGTTCCTTGGGTAGGACTAAGGATCTCTTTGCACAAATGGCTGAAGCCCCTGGGTTCACAGGTGGGAGCAGCTGCACACGCTGGCTAGCGAACCCACGGAGCAGCACGTGCTGTTTGCTGGAGACGCCGCCGATGCCGCCAACGGCTTCTTCAGCACCCTCACCCGCTCCATGGCCTGCAGCAGCCCGTCCCCAGGTAACCCCCGTCCTGCCTTCACCTTCAAACCTGCTCTTTGACATTGCAGCATGCCTCTGGGTGAGAAAAGGTGGAAGAGTGTCAGAAATATTTTTCTTGACTCAGGAAAGCTGAAATCCCTGCCTTGGGGATTCTTCAAGTTGAAGAACCATGTAGGACAGAGCTACTGTACAGATTGTGGTGTGATGACAAATCAACCAGCAAATCTCTAACTGAACTTACAGGGGAATCAGTGGGTGTTGCACTCTGATATAATCTGTTTCTGGTACCCCAATGGGATGGCTGGCTTTTCAACTACCTTTCCTGCAAGTTGCATGACTCTAAATCTCTTGGTTCACCCCAAAAATGGGTGTATTCATCTTTGATCATGTCATGGTAGGCACAGGGATAAATACAGTCATTTTAAACCCCCTGAAGGACTTGGCTGTGTGATAAGGGATAGCACTCCGAGGAGACAGCAGGATCCTGTGGATCCTGGATTGATCCAGAGGTAGAAGAAAGCTGAGTGCATGAATGTCTAAGGTGCTGGTGGAGTCTAAACTCAGCAATGCAAGTTTTATACTAAAGCAAAGAGGGCGAAAGAGCAAGTACCCCAAAAGGTGGGATAGTCTAGGGAGTTTGTCATTCTCTCCTGAGGTCTTGCAGAGGGCTCTTTGTAGACCTGTCTTACACACTTGTTAGCAGGAAGGCAAGGAGAACTAACCTGGTTGTAAAAATGGTGCTCCACCGTCCTGTACAAACTTTGTGTTTCAGGGAGTTGCTTTGGACTTGGATTTTTCTCTTTGCTACAGACTGCAAAATTGAATCCCATCCTTGTGAGCGCAAGACCCTGGAGACTGTGAAGGAGCTGGCTGGAAACTATATATGCTGGAGAGGCTCAAAGCAGCAAAATGCAGTGTGTGCCTCACTGTGCCCATTTTACAGGTGAGATGGGCATGCATAGCTTTTAAAAGTTAGCAGGGCAGACAGAAGTAAGAGATAGTAATGAGGCTTAAACTGGATCATGAATCTATTGAGGTAAAAAGCCCAGGGAAGACTGAAGGAAACATGGTGTGTAGGTTTAGGAAGAGGCAATTGCTGCTCCAACAGCTGGCTGATCTTAAAGCCTGATCTGAGGAACTAAGACACACAAGCAAAAAATTTGTCCAAGAGGCTAAAACAATCAGATCCAGCAAATGGAACTGGGGTTATGTTTCCTACCTGTGCAACCAGGATGCTCTGAGGCAAACACTCTTGCACACGTTTGTCATAATTTCTGTGCTAGGGGTTTTCTAGGTCTGAGAATTTCTTTCCAATCTAAACCTTGCTTGTCCAGTAGCCATTACAGTTTTATCAGTATCAGGAAGCCAGAGTTAACAGTGAGTAGAATTTATTTTAATTCCAAATTGGAGCAAAAAGATTAAAATATCTGTAGGAAACAAAAAACAATAATAATTTGGAGCCATTGAGACATATCTGTAATATTCAAGTGTAAAATACAACATGTTAAAGTAAAATTCAAAAGTAAAAGAATAAATTTAATGAAATTTTTCTTTTGCTATCCCACTCAGAATAGACATTTTGCTTATTAAATACTTGTTTTGAAAAATATGCCTTTTCCAGGGAAAGATTTTTTCCATGGAAAACAGAATGAGATCACCCTTGAAAATAACTTCTTAAGATTACAATTCGTGATAGATTTTGTTCTTCTGTTTATTATTAAACTTCTTATTTCAGATGGAAAAAAGTTTTCGTAAAACATTCATCTAGATGCTTCCGAACAGTATGTCCAGGTAGGACTTAACTGTTTTTGAAATTCTGTTTACAATACAGGATAAATAACAAATAATGAATAAAAAAGATGGAATTTATTCTCACTTCTAAAATGTTGTCAAAATCCAGTTCAGTTTCTCAGGGAATGTCTTAGAGCAGTCAAAGGTTAGAGAAAACCTGCCAACCCTTAATGGGGCAAATATATCTTGCCCAAATGAAATATGAGCAATCAAGAAATAAAGTTGTGATTCCTTCTTTGCTAATGTAAATATGGAAGAGCTGCATTAACGTTAGTAATTATTCTATATTTGCCTGAATGTAACTTCACTGGCATTATTCCAAAGCAAAGGAATTAAGCTCAGAGTCGTCACAGCTACCTATTTGAGAGCCATCCCCGACTCTGAAGTGGACAGTGTTGAGGAACAGATAGTGAAGTGGAACAGAGCTACCCAATAACACTTGCTAAGCAGACTCATTAAAAGGCTGAGCTGCCTGTGTGGGGAATGGATTCATGCAGATCAAGCAGGCTAAATTGGAGAAGTTGCTAATGCAGTTTGTCTTTTTCAAATTACCATCTTTCCTTGACATCTGTTACGTTCATAGGGAAACGCTCAGAGACCTCCCAGTGACAGTGAAGTTGCCTTGAGTTGACTGAGGGCATCTGTGCTAAATTCTGCAGCACAATGGGCTGAGATTTGAGCCCTTTTTCAATTTATGGCCATGTCCACCCTGGACATGGGTAGGTGTGTAGGTCCACCCTGGAACGGGATGGGAAGGGGTGTTGACTCCCTGTCTTTTCTTTCCCTGGCTCCTTTTAGACCCTTGTGACTCCCAGCCATGCCAGAACAGGGGGGGACCTGTGTCTCGGAGGGACTGGACAAGTTCTACTGCCTGTGCCCGGTGGGGTACGGAGGGAACATCCACTGTGGTAGGTGTGAACCTGCATTTGCTCGCTTTCCTTCTTGGCTATGGCCTGCTTTTGCAGTGCCCATTGCATTTCCATAAGGATAGCCGGGGCTAGGCTTTATTATGGAATATGGGCTGAGTTTTCTCTCCCATTGGTTTAACATCACTGACTAGTCACTGACAGACCCAGTGACTCAGAGCTGCTGCTCAGAAATCTTCAATACAGAGAGCACCAAAACAAAAAAGTCATGTACTAGTGTGTCTATATTTAATTCTAAATGAAGGCGTCACATAAGCAGCAAAATAAAACTTGGAGAGATGTAGCAGAAGGGTGTGTGTTGGCTCCCTTCTGCCTGTGCCAGCCCAGAAGGGGCTCCAGGTTTGGGATTCAGTATGCAACACTTAACAAAGGTCCTATCTTGAGAAAATGCTGAACACTTACCTCCCCTCACATCAAGGCCCTTTAAATTGTCTCAAATTCTATCAGATCCTTTCTCAGTGATATCTTGAATCTCTGAAAGATTTCCTGAGAATACCAGAAGAGTTTTCAATTTGAAATACCAAGAATCCTCTAAGTATTTCCTTTGTGTAAAGACTTATGTGATATCTGACCAAAACAGTTGTCCTCCAGCTCATGCAATGCCAGGCAAAGCATTTAGCCTGCTAGACAGAACAGCCCTTCATCATGCAATAGCACTTCCAGCAGACGCAGCTGAGGTGCCCAATGTGCTTGTCTTTTTGCCCTGCATACAACAAATTATTCTCTCCCTTTTCAGCACCAAAGCTGAGCATTGAGTGCAGCGTGGATCTCCTTCTTCTGATGGAAAGACTGTCCTCTGCAGTGACCAGTTTACCCAGCCCAGAGTCTGCACTGACGCCCTTCCCAGTTCCTGCGTCACACAAGCTGAGCTTCCCAGTGCGCGCTCTCATTCTGTATCAAGTAAATATTTGCATTTAAGTATTTGTTATTGGTATTTTGCATTTCCTCATCCAGAATCTAGCGCTGTGTGTTTTTTTTTTTTTTTTTTTTTTTTAAAAAAAAACTTTTTTTGCAGTTTTTTTATTTAGTTAAA